CCTTGCGAGCGAGCCGCAGAGAGCAGGCGAGACGGCGGGGCTAGAGAGACCGATCCTGCCGAGCCGCACGGCCGGAAGTGCCTGGCCTGGGCCCTGAGCTGGCGCAACACACTTCCGGTTCAGGTCTCTACCGTGCACTAGTGCGCAGACCGAGTCGGAGCCGAGCCCAGTTGGTCAGGTGAGAGGCGCTCAGGTGCAGTCCACAGCCCGTCTGGCGGTGGCTGGACCACGGGGGCGAGGACCGGCCCTGGTCTGGGCAAGGAGTGTGCTGGCCCGAGGCTCAGGCCGTCCTCTTCTCCGCAGGATGATCACGGACGTGCAGCTCGCCATCTTCGCCAATATGCTGGGCGTGTCACTCTTCCTGCTTGTCGTTCTCTATCACTACGTGGCCGTCAACAATCCCAAGAAACAGGAATGAAAGTGGCGCTTTCTCCGCCCCAGGTAATGGTCCGGGGCTGTGGCGCCCAGCCCCCGGAGAGTGGAGTGGCGAGGCCGTGCCAGGGTCTGCAGGGTTCGAAACTTCCAATCAGCAAGTGTCGGGCCAAGCATGATACAGTTCCAGAACTGGGCCCCTTTATCCGCACAGAGAAGAGAGTGCCTTGCCCCCCCCCCCAAACTGTTCCCTGCTAGAATGGGGGTGGGTTTCCTACCACCACCCTCCTCAGCCTTCAACTTAATGTGGTCCCCAGATGCCCAAGTTGGGGGTATGGGTACAAGGGGCTACCGACACCGGTAGGAATAAAGGTACTGACTGTGCCATCCACAAATGAGGACTTGACTCTTCACTTGAATAGTCCTCACTTTTCCAAGGTAATTTAGACGTTTATTTAGGCAGGTTTTTGTGTGTATGTGAGGGGTTGTAAAGATACAGAATTGTATTTCCATGCTCTGGGGAAGGCACGGATTTAGGGGTTGCCTGCTGCAGAACCAAGTCATAGAGGAGGGGGTGGGGCTGAAGGGCTTGGAAACCAACCTTAAGTGTGGGTCAAAATGTAATGGGGGGAGAGGCTGAATGGGAGTAGATTCCTGAAGGATTTCTTCAGAGGAAAGCTGCATTTTCCTTACCTCAGGTCTTTCCCCCTCTTTTCTAGGGTTCCAGGACATAGTCTGAGGCAAGATGGAGGGTGTGAGGGGCCTTCACACTTCATCCCTTCTACCCATCACAACATATAAAGCAACTACACCTGGATTTTTCCAAACAACTTTTATTTCCTCAAAGTCTTCCTTAACCCTACGGAACAAGAAGCTGCCACTGAGTAGGGCCCAGTATAGGGGCTGCTTTCTTTTCTACTCCCTCCCCCCGATATAAAAATATAGATTTTTTTTTTTGTGGTCCCAAAATCTTGTGCTGTGGAGGGAGGGAAGGCGTGGCACATTCCCTGCTTTGTCCTGTCTCAAGGTGATGCTTTGCGATGCCTCAGAACAGTGTGGGTGGCATTCCAAGGAGTTATAGTTGTCACATGGAATCAGCAGCTGAGGGAGGGAACTAGCACATTTCTCACTGTGTTCCCCATCTTGTGGCTGTATCCTGGGCATGAAGGTCAAGGCATCAGACCCGAGGAGAAACAGTGAATGGGGGAGATTTAGTGACAAAACAAACCTCAGGTTGGCCCAAGGGCCCCCTGCTGTAACAAGTCCGAGACTGGGAGTCAGATAGACTACAGGAAATAGGAGAAATGGCAGGGGCAGAGTGGGGCCGTGGGGGCCCAGCCTGAGGCAGCCTGCAACAGAGAAGAGAGGAATAAGAGTTGTGAAAAGGCTGCCCCTCTTCTGGTCTGTTAGCCAGGGGCTGGGAGATGAGAGAGGTGAGATGGGTAAGGATAGGCTGGTTAAGTATTGCACAGTGGTCTGATGCTGGAACCAGCCAGCTCCTAGGCCTTAGACCTTAACAGTTGTTTTCTTGTTCATTGCAGTGAAGACTGAGGCCATGATGGGGGGGAAAAAATCATCCGGTACTAAATTCCTAATGAAAGTACATTTAGTCTTTTGGGGGTCAGAAGGATTTGGGAAGGAAGAAAGTGATCCTGAATGGCAGAATTGGGAATGGGGGGATAGAAGCGAGAGGTGGGGTGAAGGACTGGACCTCGGTGCTCACCCTGGTGCAAAGCGGGGTCCCGGCTCCGGCTCACTGCTCTCCCTGGTCCGGAGGATAGGGGATGTGGGGCCTGAAGAGCCTCTCATCCCTCTGCGAGTCGGCGGTGAGCCCCGGCCCAACCTGGGCCTAGCCTGTGGACAGGGGGTGGGCTAAGAGACTGGGTTCTTCCATGAATATTTGTGCTTCTAGTTTCCATGAGTAAGTGTGTAGTTTAGCAGTTAACACAAGTACTGGTACCTTTAATCCCTGGGCACTGTCCCCAGCTGAGAGGGTAAGGCAGGATAACACAACTCTTGTGTTCAATCTATAACTATATATTCTTGAGTCTTATTTAAGTAGGGGTGGCAAAAGGATCCACCATTTAACCTCCATGGCTGGCTGAGTAGAGAAGTACTGTGTAGAAACATGTTGGAAGATTAGTAGATCTTCCTCAGAGCCTTTCATGCCTCAGCCTCTGCCAGACCAGCTTAAGCTTCATCCAACCAGTCACCTTCTGCCTATACCCAGCGTTAGCCAACTTTTAGTATGGGGATCTGGACTGAATTGGAGTTGGTGGCACAGCTGTTCCTAGGAGCAGCAACCAGATGTGTTACCTGGGGAATCCGGGACCCCTCCTGGCGGGAACTCTCCTCGGGCAGGTCTGGGCAGAAAGAGAGGAGAAACTAAGGGCAGGGGCAGTGAAAGCCAAAGCTAGCAGGCTGAGGTTGGGGTATATCCAGCAGGGACACGGTTGGAAGCAAGCAAGAGACCTGGCTGAAGGGGATGCGGACACTGGACAGACAGGCGCTTGGACACCAGAACAGCTTTCTTACATGGTTGGGGGAGAGGTAAAGCAGTGCTGGGCGTTTCCCCTCCTACTACCCAGATGAACAGTTCCTTGTTGGGTTCTGCCATAGCTGTTTTATGCTGGGGAACGGGAAGACCCAAAAATGTTACCTGCAATCGGGTCCTGATACAGGGGATCCGAGGTCCAGTTCCTAGTAGACCTTTCCCAATCACCATGACACCCTCTGACTTATCCCCTGAGGACAGGAGTGAACAGCTGCTCCCTAGGGAACAAAGGAAACTGATATCAGGGTAGGGGGCCATGGAGAAGAAGGGATAACTTCCTTTAGATCAGGGTTTCTCAGTATTGGAAATGTTGACATTTTGGGCTGGATAATTCTTTTGTGCCATTTTAGGATGTTCCCTGGCCTCTACCCACTAGGTAGTGTTTCTTTCCCTGCCCCCTCCCCATTTATCTTTAGACATTGCCAAATGTCCAGGGGTGGTGGGGTGGTTGCCCTTGGTTGAGAAGCTTGGCATGTTTTAGTCTGGTCCATGGTGTAGAGCAGCAAATCAGAGCTTGAATCAGAGCTCACTCAAGCTGAACTACTATGAATTTATTGATGTTAGAGCCTGTTCCAATCAAATGTATGAGCACTTAAGGATCAAGTTAGCAGTACCCAAGACCGGTGGGTTGAGGGAGTTAACGGATTAGGAGTAGCAGGCTCCAAGGGAGGTGCAAGATGCTGGACTGGAATCTTAGACATCCTTCCTATCCAGTCCCTTACACAGCTGGGATATAACAGAGCCAAGGTTCTGTGTGCATGATGTGGTCACACGTTTGCAGTGATGAAAGGGGAAAGGCCTATGTTTTTCTTCATTCTGCACTATTGTCTAATGTTGCCCAGCTCCTGGAGTCAGGGAGCTTCAATAAGTAGCAGGTAGGAAAAGTCCTAAGGTTCCTCAACTGTAAAAGTGAGGATTACATGAAATAATGTGCTTAGCGCAGTGCCTGCCCCATAGTAAATGCTCAATAAATGGTAACTTATTTTATTACACAAAGACATTCATTAAATTCCAGCTTCCTGTACAAGGGCATAGGTGTGTGGGGTTTAGGATAATCCAGGAAGATAACTGATACCCCTGATCTGGAGTGGCCTATAACATCAACTCAAGAAGGAGGTCCAGGTCAGGTGGAGCTGCAGGGATTTCTTCAGGAGCCTGCTCTACACCCTGAGTGGTAGGGAAGGAAGGAGGAATCCAGCCAACCTAGATTTCAGTGGCAGTGGGTACAGACCTGATAGGCTGAGTGAATTGGGCAGTAGGCAGGAGCCCATATTGCGTGAGGAGGCTGGGCTAGAACTGGCAGGAGTTGGGGATGGGGCCAGGCTGCTTGAGGTAAGGCGATGGGTGAGTGGCTGCTGTCGCCGTCTCCTGTCCTGGCTTCGGGGCTCTGAGTGGAAAGGACACAAGCAGATAGGGCAAGTAAGTGAGGCACTGTCACTCCACTGCCCTGCTGGCTCTTCTTGGTCAGAAGATGCCTGTTTTCAAACTTGTCATCACACCAGCATCCCTTGTCTGAAGTAAATCTAAGATGAGTAGAAAGACCTCTAATACTTATTCCAGTTATCCAGTTCTCAGCCAGCCCTCATTTGACTTCGCCTCTGTGTAGCTAACCAACTTACCCACCAGTTCATTCTTTTGGCAAAGGAGTTATTGAGCTTGGCTTCTAAAACACAGCTTTCCCAGGTTCTTTTACCTCTACCTGCTTCTCTTCAACTGCTCTTCCTGTCCCTTAAATGTCAGTGTTCCCCTACCATTCCATCCTTGGTTCTCTCCTGCTCAGCATACTTCAAACTCCCAAATCTCCCTCTAGCCCTTCTCCTGAGCTACAGCTCTATCCACTAGGCATTCCTACCTGGCAGTCTTTCAGGACCCAAACAGTACATTCTCTCCTGCCCTTCCTTTTGGTCTCCCCATTGGTGGGAAGATCCTGCTGGAAACCTTGTTCATCTTCCAACTCTTCCCTCACATTTATGTCTCTGACCAGATCTGGACGGGTCTGCCTCTGCCTTCATTTGAACTCCTTTACCCTCCCTTGCCACTGCCAGATGCAGGTCTTTAGCTCATTCAGGCTTTTGAAAAAAGTTCTTCACTGGGCTCTCTCCCTTTTTACAATCCATCTTTTATGCAGGTGCCAGAAAATTTTATCCTAAAACACAGACCTGATCAAAAATCATTTTGGCTCAGACAAGGGGGAGATACTGAAGGTCTTTTAAAGGAGAGAATCTAAACCTTTGCACACAGCATTCAAAACCCTGCCCACTGTGATTTTGGTCTACTCATCCTTAGTAGGATGCTGACTTGACACCCTCAGCTACAACCCCTGAGGCTACTAGCTGTGGGGTTCCTCTGAATGTCCTTTTCTAGTGAAACCTTGGATATCTTACTTGTCCCATGTCAGATGTTGCCTCTGAGAGAATTAGTTGTTCTCTTGTCATTGTCCTTTATTCACTTGGCTAGTAACTGTGTATGGCTCTTCCTTAATCAAGTTAGTACATGTAAAGGACTTAAAATGGTGCCAGCACATACTGAGTACTTAATAAATGTCTGCCGATATTCTAATTAGAACTTGAGTCTCTTGAGAGTAGGGAACTTCTCTAATATATAGACTAGTGCCTGTAAAACAGAACCCTTAATAAGCATCTTGTTTATCTGAATAGCAGACACCCACTATAGATCATGAGCTGGCTCAGTAATCTCTGTCTAAGGGCATATGGTTATACCCTGTGAGGGCAGCTCTCTGGTCCGTTCTTTGTGGCTAGAGCTTCACTGTTGCAAGTTCTGAAAGGTGTTCGCCCACTGGTATAACTGTGACCAGGTGGGGTAGGGAGGCTTTCAGGTTTGGTAGGTCCTTCCTCACCAGAGGGATAGCAGGTGCCAAATGCTTTCAAACTGAATGAGCTATTAACCTCCATGGAACTGAATTTGGTGGTGGTTCCAGGATGCAAGCTGACACCTAACAAAGCAACATATGCTAGGTATGTAAAGCCTACAAATTAGGAAGTAGGTGACAGTAACTTCATCTTGTCTAGCTACACTGAGCAGTAGTCAGCAGTAACAAGGATACTTCTGGAAGGTCCCAAACCAAAATAATACTTTGAAAAAGATACATGGGTAAGGAGTAGAAGAAAGGGAGAGATCTCAGGATGGCACCTACTCTAGCTTTGAGTTTGGGTACCAATTAGTCTAAGACCACAGCCAAGAGTAAAAAAACCACCAGAACTTAGCGGGCTAGTAAGAGTTGGTACAGCAGTGCCAACAAGACAATAGAAGTCAAGAGACTCAAGGCCACAGTCAAATAACCTGCAACATTACCACCACCAATGACTTAGAGATGCTGTAGAGCCCATCCCTGGGTAATTCGTTGGTTAAAACGGGCTCAGCGGTTAAGCATCAACCTAGGATCCAGGAGATCGCGGTTTGATTCTCAGGGCACAAGCCCAGGTTGCAGGCTCGATCCCCAGGCAGGGGTGTGCAGGAGGCAGCCGATCAATGACGACTCTCATCATTGATGTTTCAACTCTCTCTCTTCCTCTCCCTTCCTCTCTCTGAAATCAATAAAGATATATTTAAAAAAACAAAAAACCAGGGATGTCACTATGATGTACAAGTGACAGTGCATAGTAGGCAGAAATAATAATCTTGATAGAGGGGGAAACAGCAGGTTTCTAGATGGTCTGAGAAATCTTACACAGACGCATGTTGAAGACACATTAAGGGATGAATGTGTCTTCACCCCAAGAAGGGATGAGAGGGAGCAAGCAAGAGTGGGAGCAAGACTTTGGGACGTTTGTCGGGTCTAGTAAGGAACTGCGTGATAGTCAAGAAGGTGTGAAGCAAAACAGGCAAGTGACGTAAAAACAAGTCGGTGTGAAATGTAGGGATCTTGGGCAAGATACTAAAGAAAAACTCAGGAATCCTGCCCTTAAGGAGAGTTTCAGGATAGAAGACAAGGTCTGGTTTAGGGGGGAAGCCTGATCTGGAAAGTGTAAGGCATTTAGAGATAGCATTTTAAATCATCTCTTAGAAGACTATTTTAAGATCTGGCCAGGCCTGCTATAAATCCGGCAATGTGAGCGCACAGCCAGCCATTTCTCATGTTTTGGCTCTTGGCCTACTCAGTTCCCATTGAGACAAGAATTAAAGGGAGGAGCCCCAACCCTATTACTTCTTGGTTCTGAGATATAGAAATGGCGGTTTAAGGCTGAGTACAAGAGTGATACATGATCAGCTCTGCTTCCAGAGGTTGTGAGATGATGTTTTATGGTTATCAGCTATAGGTTCTATTTTGGGACTGGCAGGATTGTCTGGGGCAAAGGTCTGAGAGGGAGAGCCAGGCTGACTTCAACATTGTATGAATTACGATGGATATTCTAAAGCCTCGCGATTTAGAGGGGCAGTTATGTGACTTGTGCCTAGGTCCTGCATCATCACCCCCCAAACATCTTTGGAACTATCCCTACATGGCACACTGCAGATCTTATTTAATCCCTGGATGATTGCAGACCTGATGCATGCCCTCTGAGGGTTAGGAAGGTAAGACAAGCATTCATTCAGCTCCCAACTTCTTGCCTTTTATTTGTTCAGCAAATATTTGTTGATCGTTTAATAAGTGCCATGTACGGTGCTGGGTGATAAGGGAATAAATAGATGTGTTAGGACACATTCCCTGCCATCAAATAAGTTGTAACCTGCTATTTAACATGAAACTTTAGTTTGCAGTGGAAAAAGTAAAAGTGGTGATGGTGCTAGAGGCGTTCTTCCTGTGTCCTTTGACTCACTTAGCAAAGGAACCTCCCCTTACTGTTAAACTTTAGCTTCTCTACCAAAAGCTGCCTGTCAGCTGAGTCACAGCATCACAGAGGCCAAGGAAGGGTTCTAGTAACCTCAGGTTTCAGCGCCAGAGCTAGGAGGAAGGAGGGCACTGGTGGTAGGACAACAGCTGAAGACTTTACATTTAAGTCCCTTGTCTTGTACCCCAGTATCCCACTGGGTGGTCTGGAGGGCCAGGGCATATGTTTGTTATTGAGACTATTGTTTGAATCCAGGGCCAGGACTGATAGGAAACTAGTGAGGCATCTAGGGTACACTTGTCAGGAGGCCCTTGCCTGATTGAGAGCAAGTGCCTTCTCATGTTGTGTGGCTTGGGCACCTCACTGGCCTCCCCTAGTCCTTGCCCTCTTTTTGTCAATACAGATCCAACAGGAGAAGCTCGTTACCTCTCCACCCTCTCCCTGGCCCTCCTTTGAGCTCTGCACCTGCTTTTACACCAGTATCTCGCAGACCTGACTATCCTCACTCCATCATTGTATTAGATATTCCCCAGTGATCTCTCCTTCCTCCTCTGTAGTAGCTGCTGATAATGTCTGCGCTTTTGAGCCAGTGGATGGGAACTTGACCACAGGTCTGGGAAGGTGGTGCCCACAGCCTGTTTTGCAGTGGGGAAGAAGGAGGTATAGAAGATCCTGGCCCTAGCCAGTTTGGCTCAGTGGTTAGAGCGTTGGCCTGTGGACTAAAGGGTCCTGGGTTCGATTCCACCCAAGAGCACGTATCTTGGTTGCAGGCTCGATCCCCGGCCCTGGTTGGGGGGCGTGCGGGAGGCAACCAATTGACGTGTCTCTCTCACACTGATGTTTCTCTCTCTCTCCCCCTTCCACTCCCTGAAAAGCAATGCAAAAAATATCCTCCAGTGAGAATTAAAAAAAAAAAAAGATAATCCTGGCACTATGGTCAGGGGCGCTGGGAGTCAAGCCTTACTCAGAGACTTTTCCAGCCTCCTTCCCCAGGGAACATTCCTATTGACCCCAAGTTGGCTACTTCTAGCCTCTGAGGACAGAACCTATCAGACTAGCTCTCTGAACCTGCCTTAAGCTTCTGACTGGGCTGCCTAGATCTTTTCTGATTATTCCTGGATAGCCCAATCTCACATTTTGTTCCAGCCAATAAAGGACAGTTACTAATTAAATGTATAGTTAAGTGTGATATAATTTTTATACATTGGAAATTTTCTTATAAATTCACAAGACAAAAAAAATCCTTTATCAAATCACAATCCCATATTTGGGTTTGGGAGGTATAGATACAGGGGTCGTGTTTTCCTGTCTCAGAAGACCAAGTATGTCTAGATGTGGCAGAGGCCGAGGAGCCAGAGGTGAGGAAAAGGAAATGTCACAAAGCTACAGTACAGACAGATCATACTAGACAAAGAAGTTGTTCCAAGGGTTGAAGACACCAAGTCCACAGTCTGCATCACAGGTCCCTGTCCCAAGCCAGGGCTAGTGTCCCATCCTGGAGTCATATCAGGGACTTTAAGAGATGAAGCAGCAAAAACAGCACCACCAGTAAATGCCCAAGAGAACACAGGCGGCAAGGTTTCCAGGCTCTGACCTTTCAGCTCCTTATAGTATTCCTGGTTTGGAATCATTAGCAACCCTCTTCTTGACCCCTTTACTTTAGACATAGTTTCTTAGTTCTTACAAATATTTATTCAAGTCCCTGGGATGCCTCTTTACTCAAACCAGCCCTTTTTCTGCTTCTAAGCTTGTTCACCTGGGGGAACATAGCTTCTCACTTGGTTTTACCTGCACCTGTATGTGGATGACTCCTAGATCTAACCCTGATGTCACCTTTTCTACAGTCTGGCCGTTTTTTGTCTGCAGGACATCTCCATATAGATAGTCTATGACATCCAAGCATGTCTAAACTAGATAAACTCTTCACGTTTTCTTCCAACAGTGTCTCAGTGTCACCATGATCTTTTCCTTTAGTGTGTAGGCCTGAAGCTCTCTCAGTTCGTCCCTCTTCCACCATCACTGAGTCCTGCCATTCTGCTTCTAATATGTATATTCACCTCTCCTTTCCAGCCCCCGATACGGGTGCTAGTCTTCTCATGTATAACCGCTCCAAGGATCCCCCCCCCCCC